GGGGGGGGGGGAGAGGGGGGGGGGGGGGGGGGGGGGGGGGGGGGGGGGGGGGGGGGGGGGGGGGGGGGGGGGCAGAGAGCATCATTGCCTTGTTGAAGTGTGTGCACTTGATACCCGGTTTAAGCCTCTGTGTCTGAGAGGACAAGGGTCGAGGAGATGAGGTAGGGCTCACCGTAACCTTATTATCAGAACTCTGGAGATTTTTCAAGAGAAACAGGGAATTTGAATTTTTACATCAAATCTCCCAATTTGTAAATGCTGGTAATGGATTCAAATTTTTACAAAACTGTGGCCTAAACATGTCTAAAGTTTGCTTCCTGCAGTGTGTGATTTTTGTTCTCAAGTATAAGGATGAGCTTGGATAAACTTTCAGACTAGCCCCACTGGCTGTTTCTCAAATTTCTCTTCACTGTTAATTTGTGGCTTGTTTATTATTTTGATCATATGCTGGAGATTTCCAGTAGACAAGTGGTAACAGATGCCAAAGATTTTTTTGTTTCTGCTTTAATTCATGGAAAAGCTTAAAATTATGAAAATTATATGTTAACTAAATTTTTACTTGTGAATCTGCAAAAGGCTGTCATTATGATTAAACACTATTCTGGTTAAGTGTTTTGCTAATAAGGTACTCTTTGCAACATTATTTCAGGGAGAAAAAATAAGGAAATTATATTTCCTTAAGGTCAAAAAATATGTTGTCTTTATGTTTCAATGTGAAATAAGTAGAAAAAAAGTACTTTAGAAGATCAGTGATTTTGTGATAATGTGCCCTTTATAATCCCCAAGGCAAATAAATTCACTGGCTTGAAGTAAATTGTTAATTAAGGTAAAGCCTTTCTGATTTGCAGTTTGTGTGGGAAGAGGCCAGTGGACCTAATTTTAAAAATCTGACTACAGAATATTTTAAATGTGTTAGTATATTTCTGTAAGAATTATAAAGTAAGTTGTAAATAGAAACTGTAATTCAGGATGGGCTCATGTTATATAATCTAGCATAAATAAATATTAAGTTTGTAAATTCATTAGGCTCAACATTTAGGATGGTAATCATGTTGAAGTTTTTAAATTCTTGCATCCTCACGTGGAAATTTGAGCACTAAAATTTGCATAGGAAGAGGATATTAAAATTTTTTATTTCATAATAATCTGGAGTATTTGTAATACACCTGCCATACTCCAGATTAATAGGATTTGAATGAAACATTTCTGCAGTACCAGCCACATTGAGAAAAATAAATCCCTTTTCAAATTTGTTTTTCTCTTAATTTATCTTCCGTGGTTCAGAAATATTGGACTTTACAATGGGTGTGTTTATGTGTGGAATTTGTCCTACCCTGACACTCACTTAATGGGGATAGGTGACTGTATGCCTAGGATGTGGGAAGTATGGTCCAGCTCAACAAGTGGCCTTGCCTGTTGTGGTCACCACGGTCAGTTTTGGGGACACTATTCCTTTTTCTCCTCTGTCACCATTCCTTCAGCCCCTTGAGATAATGTATATTGAGATAACATGAGTCTATTTGATGTTACACTTTTTGCATATAGTTCTGATGGAATCCACATAGTGTCAAGAAAAAACAATTTTAATATTGTTAAGAAACAGTTATTTGTTTGAAACCTAGAAGATAGGATGTTTGGATATATTTCTTTTTGATGAATCTGCTTTCTTTTGATGTCTTTCTACCTGGAAAAGTCTTTCCAGGTATTTTGCTGAAGTTTCTTTCCCCTTTCCTTTAGATGGCAGCTACCATAATGATACTGTATGTGTCCAAGTTAAATAAGATAATTAATTTCCCTGATTTTGACAAGAAAATTCCCATAAAGGTAAGTGATGAAAAGTATCTGGAGAGGCCTAAGATTATAGGAAGAGAGATGTGCGACCAGCCTGCAGCTGCACTACCACTGCCCCACCAGCCTGATTCAGCTCTGCCATTGTCTGTCTGCAACTGTACATCAGCCTTCAGCCAGAACTACCCAGTTGAGAAAGACCTTCTTGCATTCCTGAACCACAGTAACTGTAAGAAATAATACCATGATTATTGGTGTGAGTCACAAAGTCATGCAGCAAAAGATAAGTAAGAGATAAATCTACACAAAACCCATAGCAAACAACACACTTAAATACATGATAAAATAAAAAGATACACCACAGAGGAGGGATTTTTCTAGATAAATGGTATATTATATTTCAGAATTAGTATTTTAATCTTCTAGGAATTGATTTTGCAGATGGTGTGAGGTAATGGTACAATTTCCTTTTTTTCCCAAATGGGCACTCAGCTGTCACAGGCTCTGCAGAAAGTCTGACCTTAGTATTGTGCCACTTGCATCATGGTTCAGTCATTCACTGGTGCAGGGCTCTGCTGCTCAGCTCTGTGTGCTTTCTCATTTGCCCATCTGTATTGGCAAGCTTTTTTGGTAAAGGACCAGTTAGTAAATATAGAGACTTTGTGGGCCACACCATCTCTGTGGCAACTATTTAGCTCTGCCACTGTACCATGGAAGCATCCGTAAATGATAATACAAATGAATCAGTGTAGTGTGTGTTATAATAAAACTTTATTTACATAAACAGAAGATGGGCCAGATGTGGCTTTTGGGCCCTAGTTTGCAGATCCTTGGTTTTAAATTTTCATTTTTAGCTTGGATTGATAAAAGGTATGAGTGGGATGAACAATACAATTTGACATGTAGAATCGTTTTTTCCATGGTTGAACTAGAAACATGAAACCTGCCATTCCTTCCTGAGAATGTGGAATGGAACTAACTTTTTAATTTTTTTATTTTGGTATCATTAATATAAAATCACATGAGCAACATTGTGGTTACTGGATTCCCCCCTTTATCAAGTCCCCACCACATGCCCTATTATAGTCACTGTCAATCAGCATAGTAAGATGCTATAGAGTCACTACTTGTCTTCTCTGTGCTATACTGCCTTCCCTGTGCCCTCCCACACACATGAATGGAACTAACTTTTATGGAACAGTTGCTGGGGGCCCAGGATTAGGCCAGACATTTAATTCTTAGAATAATCCCATACAACAGTATGGGATTTAATGTCAATTGCTAAGCACACACTTTTACTATTATTACATTATGTTAGTAGACAACTAAGTGATATAAAATCTTTATTAAGAAGTTTCTCCCCAGTGTAAGCAGGAAGCACAGTGTATACAGAAATGGACCTGTACTCTAAGATCAGTCTGTGTTTTCTGCACCATTACCACACAGTCTTAATTCCTATAACTTTATGAACAGTCTTGCTATCTGGAGGAGCAAATCTTTCCTCGTTTTTGGTCCCTCCCATTTCTCTGAATATTGGACACAGCTTGTCAAGTTTAAGAAAAATAACCTTTTGGGATTTTGATTAGGATTTAATTGAAGCTATAAGTCATTTGGGGTGCATTGACATTTTTAGTTTTGAATCTTTCAATCCATGAACATAGTACACATAAGCCTTCTTTAGTTACCCTCAATAAAATTTTATAATTTTCTCTGTAGAGTTCTAACATTCTTATTAGATTTATCCTGAAATTATTGTTCTTTTCTGCTATTGCATGTATCTTTAAAAAATACATTATTTGGAAAAGTAGAAAGACATGTTTTTATATTGCTTTTGTCTATTATTTTTGTGTCTGCAAAATTATGGAACATTAATCATAACTTATTTGTAGTTTCTTTTGGATTTGTCTACATTCACAATCAGATCATCTGCAAAAAATACGTTTTGTTCTTTCCAGCATTCTAACTTCTGTATTTTTTAATGGTCCTTGATCTATCAATCCTTCTCTCTTATATCTTCTTAGGAAAATCTCGTGTTAATAAAATTCTGTAACTTTTTGTACGTGACAGTATTTCAAAATCCTTCAAAAGTTATCTGAGTTGCATGCTCACCATCTTTTTAGTGGAAAAATAAATGTTGGACTCACCTTGATAGCTATAGACTATTAATGGTATCAGCTGAAAAGTTCTTAGTTATCATAGGAACTTACAAAGGGATATGTATTTTTTCATTTATGGAAGAATAGGTCTTACATTTTGTGGGTTTACTCAGTATGTTCTGAACATTATTTCTCTTGACAATCAGAAGATAGTTTAGGAGCTTAGAGCTCAGTAAGCCTAATTCAAGTTCAACTACGGGTACATTGTTTGACCTTGGTAGATAGTTATCATTCTAGGCTTTTAAAGCAAATAAAATAACACCAAAGGAATGTGGCTGGTATATACAACTTTTTGAAAGGGTCACCAACTTTGTGATATTTCAATGAGATTTAGACCTTTGCCTTTGTCCAGAAAAGTGTACACATGCATAGATAACAGAATTTTGCACACTTTTTCATGGGCCTTCTGTACCAATTATAAACACCCATCTTCAGCTCACCAACCCAGCCAGGAGTTTCCACTTAAGAGAGGTGCTTGTTCACACTGGCAAGATTTCTGGTTCAACCCTCCCACCCCCCATGCTTATGGGTATCACTGACAACCTAATTATTTTGATCACATGGAAAAACTTAAGATGTGTTTGGATTCTAGAAGATTCCCAGTCACAGGGAAAGGAACTCCAGTGATTTACTTGTTAATGGGGGAGTGAATGTCATCATTTTTATATATGAAGGAAACACATTATTGTTATTCTAATTAAAAAAATTTTTTTTTAATTGAAGCTGTTTCCTCTGCCTCTCCTCTATGTTGGAAACCACATAAGTGGATTATCAAGCACAAGTAAATTAAGGTACAGTACAGGATAATGTTTGATGGGAGGTTCTTCATTCATTTGCTTCTTATTGGTACAAAAACTGAGTTGGATGGTATACATTTAAGAGATAATAATATTTAATAATTTAAGAAATAAGGTGGAGTTTTGAGTTTAATTTGCTAATGCTTTCAGGCAATTAGAAAGTTGATTTTTTTTCTTTATATTCAAGTCTGAACATAGAATATGGGATTTTTAGGCATCAAGACAGAAGGTATGATTTATTCAGGATGTTTCATTTATACGAATGTGGTTCTGTGTAACGTGGTTACACATAAAGCAGGGACATTCTGTCAGATTTGGTGTAGGTCAGATTTGGTACAGGGAGAAACAAATGGCAGACATTATCTTCAAGAATATTTGTGTTAATCCCCCTGCTGAAAACAATTGCAAATGCTAGACAAAATAAACTTGAAACCCTCATAATCTTGTGATATTATCTTCTGAAATTTGCATTTGCATTTATTTTAGTGTCCTTTGCTTGAGTACTTTTGTTAAGTCACTGTAAAAAAAACAAAATGGAGGTGTAAGAAGACAGAGCCATCCTGTAAACTGGGAATGCAGTGTGAAATATGGAGCCTGGTAAATGCACATGAAGGAAGATGTAAATAAGGAGAAAATTAACCTCTTTGTGTAGTGAGAGTGGAAAAGAGGCAGGTAGGAGACAGGCCAGAGGAGGACATGTAACACTGAGAACTATGAAGTTAGACCAATCGTCTTTCCCTTTGTTTGGAAAGCACAGGTTGTGGTCATAGTTGTAGACAACAAAACATGAAATACAGTTGACCCCTAAACAACTCAGATCTGAACTGCGTGGTTCCACTTATACTTGGACTTTTTTCAATAAATATATGGAAAACTTTTTGGAGACTTGAAACAATTTGAAAAAACATGTACTTTCTCTACTTTATTGTAAGAATACAGTAGATAATATATATAGCATGTAAACCTTGTTAACTGACTGTTTATATTGTTGGGAAGGCTTTTGGCCAACAGTAGGCTATTAGTAGTTAAGTTTTCGGGGAGTCAACAGTTACACATGGCTTTCTAACTGTGTGGGGGGAAGCAGTGCTCCTAACCCTTGCATTGTTCAAGGGTCACCTGTACTGTTTTTATTACACATTTTAGTTTTGTTGTTTCTTTCTGGATTAGCACAATTTTCCTTAATTGCCTCAAATTTGTATTAAAGCTGCCTGTGGTAGGTGCTAGTGCTGTGTTACCACGTGCCTGCTGGGCCTGTCTCTGGGCTCACCTGCAGCTGTGTGGGATGGCTGATGGCTTCAGGTAACACGGCTGTCCACCTCTTACACTGGGGTGGGGGTTCTCTTCCTTGCAGATTAGGGCTTCTTTTTGTTAGTGATCTTAGAAGCATCTTTATTACTAGTGTTCTCAAGCACTTGTCTACATGCAAAGCAGAATGGATGTTACTTCCCATTCACTGATATGACACTGTTCTCAAGGTAGCAAGCAAGTAGCATTATTGGAAACGTCTTTATTGCAAGAGTTTAAAAATGTTTCTGCACATTAATTGCAGACTGGGTGTAACTAGCATTCACTGATATTTACACTGTTTTCAAGGTGTCAGGTAAGTAGTGTTCTTAGAGATGTCTTTATTGCAAGGGTTCTAAAACAGTGCAAGAAAGTGAGATGAGGGTTTCGTAGGTCTCATAGGGGCTTTAGGGAGAAGAGAGGGAACCAGAAAAGGAGACTGAGGAGGAAGAAGGAAGAAGGAAGGATTGCTTATATGTGACTCATGTACACTGTTCCCCTGTCCCTCATATTTTTCCATGAACTGGTGGTCTGTTCTAGCTGCTTGATCAGGTTCAGGCTCACTATTTCAGGTGGGATCAGTTTACTGGTGATGCTGGGTTCTTTCTACTGCATCACCTGACAGGGCACATGAAATTCTCTCCCACTCTTTTTTACAGCTTTTAAGGTATAATTTGCATAAAATAAACTGCACATAATTAAAATGCACAATATGATACGTTTTTGACTTATGTATCAATCTGTGAAACCCATCACCACAATATTCGACACCCACAAGTTTCTTCATGTGTCCTGGTTTTAATGATATTAAATTGATCAATTCCACTTTTAATGATTTTGAGAGGTCCTGCTATTGTCTTCATTGGAAAGTGCCCCATCAATCTTTTGCCTTATGGTTTTAGCTTCCACTGATAATGATTGTCTAGATCCATTACTTCATTACACCTTGCAAAAATGGTGATTTTCTGTTTCACCCCTTCTGCATGTATTGTCTAAATTTCTTTAATAAATACAGACTTTTCACCATTTCACATAAGAAAGGCAGGATAAAAGCTTTATTTATAAACATTCAGAGTAATAAATTAGTGTACTGTCATCTTCAAGTGGTGATGAATGGGAGTCGTTTTTTGCTATCATTATAAACTCATGAATTTTCATTTCTTTGATACAAGTTCTACATCAGATACATGTTTTGCAAATATTTTCTCTCTGTCTCTGGCTTGTCTTTTCATTCTCCTAACACTGCCTTTCAGAGAAGATGTTTTAAACTTTAGTGAAGTTCCATTATTGATTCTTTCTCTCGTGGATCATTGCTAAACCTGTCATCACCTGGATTTTCTCCTTTGTTGTCTTCTAGAAGTTTTATAGTTTATGCTTTACATTAGGTGTATTATCCATTTTGAGTTAATTCTTGTGAAACGTGGAAGGTCTGTCTAGATTCAGTTTTTTGAAAACTTTGAAGAGACTATCCTTGCTCCATTGAATTACATTTGTTCCTTTGTGAAAGATCAGTTGACTTTATTTGTGTAGGTTTATTCCTGTGTTGCCTGTTCTGTTCCAGTGATCCAGTTGTTTCATTTGTTGGATGTTTGAATTCATTATATAAATCTTTGTGGCTCAGATTTTCCCATCTCAGGCCAGTGGGAGTCCTTTGAACTTTATCCTGGACTTTTCCTGCATTTCTCCAAGGATCCCCTGGTTATTTTTAATGTTAAGGGTTATGTGGAGGCCACAGTCTGGATGTTGGATATATTTTGAAGGGCCAGCACTATCCTGATGAATAATATGTAGGGTGGGAGAGAAAGAAAGGAGCCAAAGATGGCCTCACAAAGTGAAAGAACAGGATTGCCATTGATTGGGTCTATACCTTTGTAGCATATTGTTTTCAGGAGTCATCCATATTGTAGCATGTATCAGGATATCATTTCTTGTTTTAAGGCTGAATAATATTATAATTATGTATCACAGTCTGTTTATCTATTTATAAGAGTTTAAAATTTTGGTGAAGTCTGATTTATCAATTTTTTTCTTTTGTTGCTTGTGCTTTTGGTATTATATTTAAGAAGAGTTTGTCTAACTTAGAGTCATGAATATTTACTCCTTTGCTTTCTTTTAAGAGTTTTATAGTTTTAACTTCTACATTTACGTCTCTGATACATTTTGAGATAATTTCTTATACATGGTGTGAGGCAGGGTTCCAAATTCATTCTATGCATGTGGTTCAGTTGTTTCAGAAGTATTTGTTGAAAAAGACTATTTTTTCACCATTTTACTGTCTTGTCACCCTTGTGGAAAATTATTTGACCATAATTGTAATGACTTATTTTGATTCTTAGTCCTATTCCATTGATTATATGTTTATCTTTAAAGCAGTACAAGATAGTACTGATTACTGTGGCTTTGTAGTAAGTTGTGAAATTGGGTCCATTGGCTTTGTTCTTTGTTTTCAAGATTGTTTTGGGGTTTTTTTTGGCTTCCTTGCATTTCCATATTCATTTTAGAATCAGTTTGTCAGTTTCTGAGAGGACAAAAAGCCAGCTGAGATTTTATAAGATTTGTGTTGAAGCCATAGATCTTTTTGTGAAGTATTGCCATTTTAACAAAATTAAGCCTTTTGATCCATAAACATTGGAGTATCTTTCTAATAAATATTCTGTAATCTGTTAATGGTATTTTTTAATTCCTTAGCATCTTTTTGATGCTACCATGAATGGAATTATTTCCTTTTCGGATTGTTCATTGCTAGTGCATGGAAGTACAGTTGATTTTTGTACATCCATTTTGTGCACTTGCCTAACTCATTAGCTCTGATATGTTTTTAGTGGGTTCTCTAGGATTTTCTAAGAATTTATTTATTTAATTTTTGTCTAAGGAGTATTTATTCATTTCTAAGGATTTCTAACATTTGTTTTTTCCTTTCCAAATGGTATTCTTTTCATTTTCTTTTTGGCCTAATTGCTCTGTCTGGAACCTCAGTTAACAATGCTGAGTGGACACAGTGGTGAGACTGAATTTTCTGGTCTTATTCCTGATCTCAGGGGGAAACATTCAGCTTTTTATCATTAAGGATACCTTATCTGTTTTTAAAAGGCATCATCTAAAAATATTTTTTGAAGTTAATTGAAAATAAGACCTTTTTTTTTCACGTGCTTGGACAAAAGCAGTTCAAAGCAGTCTCATAAGACATCTTTAAATGCAGGTAATATAAAGTTCCTGAAAATTCTTTCTTCATCTGCTCTGTGGATGTAGTGTCATTGCTATGTGAAACCCCTCCTCAGGTCTGGTCAGGAGGAGCTGCCACGCTCCCTCCTGGCCGTGGTTCTCACTGAGCCACACATTTGTGCACATGGCTTTTTCATTCTGTTGGATGACTGCCTTGGGATCAGTTTCCCAACAAGAAATAATTAGGTCTAAGGCTAGGACCATTTAATGACATGATATGTATACCCAACTTGATTTGCCAAAGGGTATACTGGTTTACAGTGTGCCCAATCTGTTAGCACAGTCTTTGTGGCAGTTGGATAGTATGATGTTTTTAATTGCAAATAAGTGAAAAGTAGCATGAGAGTATTAAATCTAGATTTCTTTTTATTATATGATGTAATTTGATAGTGGTACATGTGATAATTAAGGTTATTCTTTATATTGAATTTGGAAAGTTAGTGGGTTAATTAAAAATGTAAAACATGTTAAAAAATATTTGGTGGCTGTTATTACTATACTTGAATCTTTTCCCAACAGCTTGCCGATGTTCACTGTGCTCAGGAAATTTACCATTCCACTTACTTTACTCCTGGAAACCATCATACTCGGGTGATTTAAATTTTTTTCTATTCTCTGGTGTCCTCTCCCCGATGTTTTTTTTACCTAGCAAATTCTCAATATTTAGTCATTATTTTTCCAAATAGTTGATTGAATTGTTAGTAGCAATAACTTAAGGATAAATGGTTTATTCGCTTACGACCAGTCTCCTGTTTCCATGATTCCTTGAGAACATAATGAGTGATTTTTTTTCATTGTGGTTTTACATGAGACAACATAATACACATTTGTGGTCAAAAATTAAAAAACAACCCCCAAACAGATGTAAATCTGTTCCATATTTAAATCTGAGCCAGGTGGAATATACACTTGATTTTGGAATACAGAGGGAAAACTGTCCACATATACATATAGGATAGGAGTATGGAAAATCAGGGAAATACAATCTGATGTAGTGATTATATTGGAACATCAGAAAAAGTTAATTTTTATAATGTAGGTTTAAAAATTTCTCATGAGGATACTCAGGCAGACATCCAAAAAGGTGATTCTTGATTTTGCTGTGAAGATTATTTAACAATGAAATTTGAATTATGGCCCAGTGTCTTCAGTCCTGCTGTTGAATTTTATCTTGATCTTTGGATGCTTGATGTACACACCTGCCAACTAGACCTGTGAGCAGGAGCTCTTCTGCATTTTGCCCAGCATCTCTTGGGAGAACAGGGAACTATGTTTACTATCGGATTAAGACAACCACTTAAGAGAGAAACTTGGTGTGACTTAGCAAACCGCTTAGAGTTCTGCTGCTTTCTCTAGTAAGCATTGTCCGTTAGACTTCAGCTATAAAACTGTTAGCGGCATCTGTTTCAGTTTGCTTAAATATAATGCCTATTTCCCTCTCTTCCTCCTTACCTTCTCTACCTGTCTGTGCCTCTGTCTGTCCGTGTGTCCATGACAGGAAGCAGTTTTCCTCGGACATCATCGTCAGTGTCCTCACCATCATCCTGGGGGCTTTCATAGCAGCTGGGTAAGGCTTTGGATGGTTTCTGTCCAGTAACTTCTTTGTGTCTTGGACAATAGGCCCAGCCCCATCCTCATTTCCCGTTTTCCATCTGGCTGCAGTTGAATTGAGCAGCCAAGAGACAAACTGTTGATGGTAGTGGAGTTCCCATGTGTTCCCGTGAAGGTCAGACTGGGTTCCAAGCTGGCCAGAACATTTCTGAAAATATATAACAAGAGCACTGTAAGATCTTAATACAGCTTTTCCTCATGAAAAGGAGGGGACCATTTACTTTTATTACTGAAAGTTTGTCTTCAATATAAAAATTTTACTCGAAAGCTCTTAGGCATTTGAACAAGAAGAGGAACAGATTTATCAAGCCCTTGTATGCTGATTTGTCTAATTACCTGTGACGCCTCATCAGTTAATACATCTGAGGGTGGAACCTCTCCTTTGATATATTTGTACGTTTAGGACATGAGCTGGTACTAGTGTGTGACTACTAACTTATTCACTGATGTGCAAGATTAGGACTGAGGGCACCAAGTCTGCCCTGGAAAGCAGGCTCTCAGATTCCAGGCTCCCATGGCATGGTGGTGTGCAGGCTGGGCCCTGGGTTCAAAATTAGCCCTGTCCCATCAGCTGTTTCTCAGCATCTCTGTGCCTCAGTTTCCTCATCTATAAAGTAAAGATGATAATAGAAAAGAAAAACCTACTTGAATGAAAGGAGGAAGGAAGAGGTTGGAGGCATTTCAGTCTAACTATTTCCTTAACTCAGTTAGAAGCAAGAGTTCTGGCTCATTAACTGCAAATTAAATAAAGGTGCAAAGGTCTAGGATCTTACTCTAACTCCTGTCTTACTGGCTATTTAACATACTGTACCTGGTTGTTTCAACTGTAAAATGGAGATTAGAATAGAAACACCTACTAGGCTTCTGCTTGGCCAAGTTCAACAAAAACATGTTGAGTGTTTACCAGAGGCCAGGCATTGTTCTAGATGTGGGGACCCAGCAGTTAAAAAACAGACAAGAATCCTGCTCTTCGTGGTGCTTCCATTCTGGTTGGTGGAGACAGACAATCAGCAAAAGAAGTAGATTAAAAGATCCAGCAACACCAGATCATGACAGATATTAGCAATAATAATGATGCTCATTATTGCTATAGATGTATTTGATCCCTTGCCTCAGCCAAGGTTTGTTACTTACATTTTCATCTTCACTTCCTCTAACCCCATCCTCGCCGTGGCTGAGTTCACCCTCTTGGAAGCTGGCCTCTGTTTCATGCCTCTGGCATATGCCAGAACAGACCTTCAACAGCATCATGTAGAGCCTGTGTTAGTTAGAAAGTCTTTGTTCAGACAGAATCATATGAGTAAAATAGCTAAAAAAGGGAGGTGCTCAGTTGCAGTGGCCTCGTCCCACAGTGCTCTGGGGTTTCCTCTGGATAGCCTCTCTGTCTTAGGTTTCTTAGAGCTCAATTTGGAGACCACTGACTTAGAGCCAGTTGTATACTTTTACAAAAAATGGTTTATAAAATGCCTATAAGTCTTTGATGAGGAATGGCAGTTCAGATGCTGTGTGTATCTAGGCATATTTCCAGCCTCATATGTGATAGTCTTAATGAGCTGAAAGAGTAAATAGTGTTTCCAAAGATGTCTGACTTTTCCGTAAGAGCCAGCTAGGAATAGCACTTCTCATCTTCCCCTGTCCTCAGCACCCACAGAAAGAATAACCTCCAGTGGGGTGATAAATACAGTTCTTAGCTGTAGGCCAGCTGTGACCCCACCCCTCTCTCATTCAGACTAACTCACATAAACGAAGTACCTGGACAGCTTCAATCAGATAAGCCAATGTTGCTGCTGTAACAAACAGCCCCTACATCTCAGGGGTTTACATAACAAATACAGTCTGCTCAAATTACACACCCAAACTGGTATCAGTTCATGCTGTGGAGCTGCTCACTGTAATTGCTTCAGGGACCCATGCTGGTGGAACCCCTGCCTCTCTACAGGGCTTCCTTACTCATTCAGGAGGGAAGAGAGCATGTGCAGAGCTGGGCACTGGCTCTTTAAGCTTTTGCCCAGAAGTGACTTGTGTTACTTCTTACACTTTATTTGCCAAAGCATGTCACATGGCTGAAAAAAGTTGAAATAGAATGTGAACAGCCCCAAATGACAACCAGAGATTAACCATGAATCTGCTTTCATTTAGAAAGCAAACACATTATTCTCAAACTTCTGTGCTTTCACTACTGGCCTAAACAAATCATGTTAGAAGGCCCCCCCACCCCACCCCAGCACAGTGGAAACCTGAGATCTCTGGGAATTTCCCCTCAGGCTCTGTGAGGAGGTGAGCGACAACTCCTTTCCATTCCTCTAGAAAGCCTGGCTCTTGTGCTCATTGGACTCTTCACCACTTAGGGAATAGCAAACCCTTAAAACTGAGCCAAACATGGGTAGGCAAGAGTTCGAGAGACCCTTATTTTGAGAGATTCTGTTTTTGTGATTGAGCCAGAGAATTCTGATTTATGTTCATCTAAAATTAATTTACATTCTCACAAATATAATGGTAGATAATAAGCTATCGGAAGCTGCAACCGAGGTCTAGTTTAATTTGCGTTCAGATTTTGATGCAATTTTTGCCTTACTCTGTTTCCTTCCTTTTGGTTAGAAATAATCTTATTTTGATATTGAAGGGGATCAGGATATGACATTGTAAAATATACTCCTTTGGCATAAGCATTATTTTGATTTGAAGACAATTGAGAATCAATAGACATAGGAAGAGGTCTCTGCCCCCCCCACCTTCTCTGCCTAAAAGCAGACCATAAACTTCCCTTTGTGAAGGTGCTTCCCTCTCCTGTATCAGGAATAGGCCCCTGAGATGGAGAATCAGCACCCAGATCAGTCTGCATAAATAATCCTTACTAAAATAAAACCTTATCTTCCACTGGTTCCCTTGTATATTTCCTAGTCCCCTTCCATAATTTGTTTCTTGAAATCCAAACTCTCTTTGTTAAAATGTTATATAAGCCCCAGAGTCTAACCACTTCTTTGAGTTTCATTTCTTTTCTGTGAGTTCCTGTATATGTAAAATATTTAATAAAATTTGTATTCCTTCCATTAATCTGTCTGTTGTCAGTTAAATTCACAGGCCCCTAGTCACTGAATGTAAGAGGGTAGAGGAGACTTCTTTGATGATATGTATTTATGAATTATGACATGGCTCTGGTCCTCTCTGTAAAATCAGGTGTAAGTGGGTAAATCATATCATGGCTTCACTATTGCTCTCCCTCTCCTCCCTTTGTCATGTCCCCTCCCCCCATTTTATCCTAGTATTATTTATTTTAAATGGAAATTGAAGAGATGTTTCAAGAGGAATGGGAAGAAGGGAGCCTGAGAAGATTTGAAGGAATGGAGCCCTGCCTGGCTTTTTGGTGGACAGGGTGCAGGTGGACAATGTGACTGGGCACCAGATGGAGGTGTCAGCTGTGTTTCTGACCCCTCTTGCTCCAGTCAGTGCCCAGCTGTCCCCACAGGGCTTTACCCTGGGGATGGCCCTGTTTATACAAAGCCACTGGGTGGGTGGGTTGGACAAATCATTCCCCTTAGAAAAGCTGGGCTCATGAATTATTATGCTGATTTACTAGTTAGCAGAAGAAAGGACTTTGCAAGTTAAGGGAAGAGGGTTAATGTCCCTCTGGTTTTAAGCCTGTTCTTGGTTAAGTTGAAGCCACCTAATAGCCTGATTTTTTTTTTTTTTTTTTTTTTGTCTAGAGACAAAACAAAGGAATTAATCATTTACCACCACAGAGGGGGATAATATGCCAGAGAAAAGGTAGTTACTAGCCTCACCAATGGGTTTGATTAGGGGAAAATAAAAGAGCAGCCTTGGAGGCCACATGGTGAGCTCCTGAATAATCCTCCTTTTTTGTGTTCCCCTCCCAGTTCTGACCTTGCCTTTAACTTGGAAGGCTATGTTTTTGTGTTCCTGAATAATATCTTCACAGCAGCGAATGGAGTTTATACTAAACAGAAAATGGACCCAAAGGTACCAGATCTTCACTCCTATGGTTTTTAAGTTTGTCATCTGGCCCCTGAAATTAAATGAAAAAAAAAATAAAACAAATTTATAAAGTTGGCATGTAACTTAATTTACATAATATGATCTGAAAATGACTAATTTCAATTATCTGTGTAGGTTTTTGTTTCTCCTCTTCTTGGAAAGTTTTGGGTGAAAATTAGGAAGGGAAAAGATGCTATTTATTTATTTATTTATAAAATTTTTTTATTAAGGTATGATTGATATACACTCTTATGAAGGTTTCAAATGAAAAAACAATGTGATTACTACATTTACCCATATTATCAAGTCCCTACCCATACCGCATTGCAGTCACTGTCCATCAGTGCAGCAAGTTAAAGATGCTATTCTTTTAGATGCAAAATATCAGAATCTATAAATTGAAAAGCAAATTAAGATTAAAAGCAGTTTTTGCCATCATCATGAGTGACCTTCTTGGCCAAGGCCGGATGCTCCGAGCAGCTGTAGTGAGAGCCTGGAGTCATGGGTCACCAGAGAAGTTTGCCGCCTACAGGTCGCTGTGACTTCGGACCTTACCTTCTCCAGCCCAGGTGTCCTCATTGTGGAAGGAGCTGAGTGGAGCGGGTAGTTTGCGCGTCCAGCAGCAACCGCCTTTCTGGATCGTGAGGGGCTGAGGGGTGGCTGAGCTTCCCTGTGTGTGGCTGCCAAACGGCCCGGCCCCCGTCGTCTCCCCTACCCAGCTGTCCCGGAAGCGCTGGAGGATGCGCCAGACATATGGTTCTTTGTTTCAATTCTTTGTGTTCAGATAGGGAGTTTGCTCTGCGGGACAAGCTTATTTCTCTGAGCTGTTTTTTTTTTTCATTTGCACTTTTTTTCTGCTTGGCCGTTTGTTTTTTAACTGTGGCAGTTTTACAAACACAGGTTCGTTGTCTTTTGAGAATCACAGTATGTCATCCTTTATGGAAATGGTTTAGTGGTTGTAGCTATTTTAATGAAAAGTAAATTTATGCAAGATTGGAACAAAAGATACTTGGGGTTTTAACCCTGCTGTTTCTTAATAGGAAGAGCAGATGTTTTTAGGAGTTCTGTTTATATTAACATGTTTAATGTTCTTTCTATATTTTGTTCCAAATCTCCCATTTTGAGTAGCATGCTTAAAAGAAAGCAATGAGAATGTTAGAGATGGGTGGAACCTCAGATGCTGTCCATCTCATCCATTTACCTGCCGTTACTGCATAAAACAAATGTTTCTTCTGAAATTATGGAATGAAGTTAAGCATTTTATGTCAGAAATTTGCTGAAAATGTCCCAGTACAGAGTTGGTGAGAATGTATGTTCTAACTACATAGATATGTAGTTGTATACATGACCCCAGGAAATCTGATCCTTCCTCTTCCTAAAATTGGGGTTTTCATTGCTTTTGCAGGAGTTAGGGAAATATGGAGTGCTTTTCTACAACGCCTGCTTCATGATTATCCCAACTCTCATCATCAGCGTCTCCACCGGAGACCTTCAGCAGGTGAGCTGGTGACTGTCATTATGTTCTTATCAGTCTCTTAAAATTTTAATATTTAACCTTTGGTGTTCACTGGAATAAAAAGCATAAAGGTAACTAGGGTTACCAGAAAGGTACATGAAAGTAAGATGTTTGATGTCTTTAGTAATGCCTTTGCCGCCATCTTTTCCTTGGTGTCTATCTTTAACACAGAGGAAGTAGCCAGAAGAAGTGACAAGAACTCTGGACTTGAAGTTTTTTGGAAAACAACAATAATGAAAATTTGACTTGTAGTCTTACTCTCCCCCTTTGCTATTGTGGTGTTACGGAAAATTGGACCAGCATGGAGAGAGACAAATGGCATTCAGTCTGGGATCAGAAAAGACTGGTTTATTAAGACACCAGTGTGGTCTCCATGAAGTAACCTCCAAAGGCTGAGCACGCGTATTGCAGCGAGCAAGGCTTTTGTACAGGCAGCCTTCTGGGATGGGCAGGGCCTTTGGGCAGTTTAGTGGCCCCTGGGTGGGGGACCTACAGGGGACATTCCTTAGGTTGCTTAGGTTCAGTGGGCTTGGTAGGGGAAGAGGTCATCCCTTCACAGTGGGAGTCCTAGGAAAACTTAAAAGGGGATTTTGATAGTTTAAAAAAAGATTTCTTTATTTATTACCTTTATTATGGACACTTTGAAACGTGCAAAGTAGAATAATTGCTGTTTATAATTGATTCTGTGGCCCCACCGAGCTTCAACACTCTCCGGCATTTCATCATTCCTATTCATCTAACCCCATCTGCTCTCATTTTTCTTTACCTGAGTATTTTAAAACAAATACCAGGTATGGTATTTTGCCTCTAAATACTCCAGAATCTATATTAAATTTTGAGAGGGTTTCGTTTTCTGGGTATTTGTCCTGCTTACCTTATCAGCTGCACACTTACGGAGAGACAGAAAACAGTAAATTAGTGGAAAGAGTGGAGGCCCAGCTGGAGGGAGCAGAGGCCAGTCTCTTGAGAAGGGTGATTTTACCCCTAAAGTCCACGTGGCCACCTGAAGTGTGCTGGCCCCTGCCATGCCCTGCTGCCTCAGAAAGTTGCCAGCCACACCACATCTACACATTTTGCCTGTATCTTCAGGGAGGTGGTAAATAAAGTTCGTGTGAACAAATAGGCGTGTGGGCCAGATGCTGGTTTAGCATGCCCGTCGCCCACAGAACCAGCCTCCGGCTGGCCAGCCTTACCCTACGTGTTGTGGGGCCAGAGGTGGGTTCCCAGAGGCCTTTTGCAGCAGCTGTTTACCTACCCACCACCTGGCAGTGTGACTGTGTGTAGCTTTTGGTGTGGCTGCGTGCTTATACTGGGTGAGTCCATCCCGTCTGTGTGCTGCCCTTTTGGGCCTGAGTGACTTAAGAAGGCTGTGGGCACTGGTGGATCCCCGGAGCCGATGTCAGGGCCCATTGTTCTTTCTTAGAGTTATCTGTTCTCATTTGTACAGCTCCTTTCCTAAAGGGGGAGCAGCAGAAGGGCTTAGCAGCAACGCCCCCAGGCAAACAGCCATTTCCATGTATTTGTATCAAAAACCACAAAGAAACACCAGCCTTTATGAAGAGCTCTCATTGTGCGAACCTAGGCCCCACTGTAAACTCAGTGTTAGAGGGTATGACCTGCACCCACACCTCCCTAGTAGTAATGAATAGGATATTGGAAAGCACAATATATATTTTTCATCTGCCATCAATTGATTGTAGACAATTTCAGTGTCAGCGACATGCATAAACCAAGTGAAATCATGAACCCTCCGCCCTGGTGGCTCATCTCATTTCATTATTGTAGAGTGAGTTTTTCTTCTGAAATCACTGGAGTTCATCAGTTCTGAGATTTTGGTGCTTTATAGCTGTTTCCGATATATTTATTTCTAGAAGCAGAAATCCGGAAACTCCTAGGATCCCTTAGCACACCTGATCAGAACTAAAAGCATATTTCCTTATAGGAACAATGTTAGGAATGGCACAGTGACCAGAAACTGAATTTTAGGAATCTTATAAGTAAAACAGACTAGGTGTATCATGTTAATAATGCATAATATTGTTTCAGTAGGAATATGTGTTCTCACAGAAGTTTCCACCTCCCTGAAATGATTATCACTGCAGAATTATACTTTTTCATGTAATAATAAAAATAATAGTAGCTGTATTTATTGAGGACTTTATCAGACATTTGCAGTCTGTTTGCAGTTCCATGATGCCCTTGAGGAGAAAGTACTGTCAACATCCCCATTTGCAGACAAGGCATCTTGGGCACAGTTTCAGTTGCTTCCAACAGCATTAGGTGGCAGTTCCAGGCAGGCAGGTGGACACATACCCTTCATCGTCATGTCAATTATTATATTTGCATTTGAAAAGTGTTTCTTTCCTTCACATATGAAGAATGACAACCCATCACTTCTAGCTTAGAAAGTACAAAAGGCTTAACAAGTAAATTAACTTATTAAGTCCTGGGATTCTGGGAGAACATTATGCTCCCATTCTGGTTTATGGTGATGGAAGATTTACAGTAGTAAATACCCTGTCTAGCCTCTTCCATTTGATCAGACTCCTGAGACTGCAAACGGAAGTTCCTGTAGGTACCTTAGAGCCCTGCGGTGGTAACTATTCACTGGAATTCCATGTGGATCAGAGCTAAATACATAAATTTATTTAAAATCCTACAAGAAAAATTATAATTAGGAAAAAATAGAATATGTTTAAAACTGTAAGGAAGGCCTATATAAAAATGACAAAACACAAAAGTCATAAAGTTAAAAACTTGACTTTTAATTTAAAAATATTGTATGATTAGAGATGCCAAAAGATAAGGGATATTTACTATAATCAGTAATTTTAAAAAACCTTGTAGAAAAAACTTTGTAGAAGACAGAAAAAAACCTTGTAGAAAAAACTATTACATTGTTGTGCTCTGTGTTCATTGAATGGTAACAAACTGGTAACTTTTAACCATGGCTGAATCCATTTTAGATTGTGAACCAGATATAATAAAGAAGTGAATTTATATAATAAGGGGTGTTAGTTTGCAATATAAAATTGCACTTCATTTGGCAAGTTTGGTTTCATGGTACCAAAAGTTGATAGATGAATTAGCAAAATGTTAAAGTTCCCTTGTTTAGTGGAAGGACTCCTTTGATGAGTCATTTTTCCTGGTTGACTGGAGTGGATCAGAGATTGTGGAAATGATTCACTGCATGGGTTCAGGCCTTGACCTTGAACTGAAATAGCCAGTAGATCATAACAGCACCTTGAGTCTGTCTCTGACTACCAAAGTCAGCCCTGCCGGTTTCTATGGTTAACAATACTCAGTGGGTGAGCTTCCTTCAGTCATTTGAATTGCTGCAGTAGGTTCAAAGTGCATTAAGTGTATTGCAGTTAATGAATAGGGATAAAAAATGGGACTTTTTTTTCTGATTAAAAAAAATGCATGGATGTGAAGTGAAAAAGATCCACACTCAGACATTGTCTTACAGCAATAGCAGGTCTAAAGGAAGAAGTACTTCATTGTTACTCATCTTTAACTGTTTTCTATAAATGTCATGCTAAATTATTCTTTAAAATATCACCAGCATAGCCTTATCAGTATTAAACAAAAAAAACCCTAAAATCTATCAAAATTTAGATTGTCAAAAGGTCCAGATATTTTTGTGAGAATTACTAGTTAACCCTCAGTGGGTTATATGGTATGAGGAATATATTGTTTTTATCTGTTGTTTGTGTAAATACTTACAGCTTTTTGAGTACATAAATGGTTTTCTGCCCTTGGTTTGAAGTTTGGGGCATATGGTTTTCTCTTATTCTCAGTTTTATTGTAATTTTGGGCACAGTGTTTTCTACAGTTTTTGTTTAATTTTGGTAATTGCCTTTTTTTGCATAAACTTGGATGTTTTTCTGTCCCTTTGGTTGGTTTGGGGCTTTCTAGTAAGGCAGATTTATATTAATTATACTATTCTCTTTCACAAGTGGAGTTTTAAAAGAGTTTTATTATGGAAACTTGAAAACCTACAGAAGGAGAGAGAACAGCTAAGAACTCCCACATACCCTTCAGCCAGTTTCAATAATTATCAACATTTATGTGTATCTTTTTTGGGTAGGAGAGGTGGGCAAAATATTACTAATGAAATAATGACACTAATGTGTGACAAGGTTGTATTAACTGGAAAAGAGAATTCCATTCTAACTGGTTTAAATATTTTTATTAACAGTATAAACTTAAATATTTAAGTAGTTTTAAATATATAAAGTTACTGAAACTTGGCCAACAAAGTATTGCTTAATGGATACTGAATAGAACTTATATTTAATTATGTTATTTAGAGCATACTTAATGATAAACAGAACATTATTTATCTTGAGTCACTCAATTTTACTCAAGTTAAACTCAATTTTGGATGCAGGCAAGGGACAAATCATGAATAAATACTCCTTTTTATTGTTACCTGCTATTTCAGAGGGTTAATTTCATTTTCTTAGCTAGGGACTAAGTTTCTGGAGAAGTGGAAACTGACCCTCATATCTCTGTCCCATCTCCTCCACCCCAGTTACTTGATTGTTTATGTGTTCATGATAAGCATTTGCAAATTCTTTAAAATTATTTATGAACTTAGCTTTTGTAATTTGCCAGCATTATATTATAATAAACTTTATTCTAAGATTATTTATAAAAAGCAAACCCAACCCTGGTAATGTAACTACAGGTTGGTCAAGATTTAGTAAGCCACAGCAACGGTAGCTGTATTTTATATTTGCTGCTTATAAGATTCTGAACAATTTCATTAAACCCTCACATTGGCCTTTTGACAAGGCTTAAAAAAAGTAATCCCCATTTTGTAAAATGAAGGTGAGGTTCAGGGAGGATAAGTAATTTGCTCAGAGTCCCACATCTGGTATTACCTAGGATTTTTAAATTGTATTTTCTGTTTGGGAAAGGGGTTCCTAGACTAAAACAATTTGGTACAATAGATTTACAACTGCACCATTAATAATCTAACCATTAGTTTTCTTTCTTTTTGATAATAGGCTACTGAATTCAGCCAATGGAAGAATGTTCTGTTTATCATACAGTTTCTTCTTTCCTGTTTTTTGGGGTAAGAATCCATAGATAAGTAGAAGCTTTGGTCTGTGGTATCTTTTGACAAGTCAAACAGAAATACAGATCTGTCTGCTCTTTCAAAATCCCTTTGTGCTTTAGCTTTCTCTGGAGGGCACCCCTGTAGCTGAGAAGTGGGATGGAACCCCAGAAACCCAGAAACACAGCCAGAAAGGCCAGGAGCAAGAGCACAGACCACCTTTATATTTGGAAGTCATATTAACATCATGTTCTCCTCCAAAAGATGATGTTGCCTATTGTTTTCTAAAGTTAGTCTGAAGTGAAGTCAGCCAACAGATCAAGTTCAGTACTATTTGTCTTTGTCCCACTGTCCCAAGTTTCCCAAGATTCTCTACTTCACATAAATACATGGAATTGACAGTGTCTTTCTGTTGTGCTGTGCCTACAGTGTTCAGAGAAGTTTTGGAGGGGAGATGTCCAGGCCATTGCACTGTTGAGCAATTTCAGACTTTTGATTCTAAAATATCCTTATGTATATCTGCCTATTGAGAAGCTATGAAGCTAGTGTTTTTTTATCTTTGAAAAACTTGAAAATTCATTTTCATGAATGAATAATACATGCAACTTGTAAATAATCCAAAAGCTGCAAAAGAATGCCTAGGGAACATATGCCACCTCCCTTCCTCCCTGCCCTCTAGCACTGCAGGTTTCCTCACCATGGTCAGCCATTGTTTGAAGTCTTTAGAATAACCTTCCTGAGGCTGGGAAAACACAAGTGCCTGTGCCTTATCCCATACTAAAGGGTCTTTAAATGACTGTCTCAGGGAATCGTATCAAAAGATTTTTCTTATGAATAAAGATGAATTTACCCCTTATTATTGTTTTAGCCACTAATACTGTAATTTTCTTTATATGGAAATAAGACAACTCGTGATCTCTTTGATCAACACTCTTAAAAATGATCAAATTTGATTTGAATTGCAGTAATATAGTCACATACAATAAAAATGTTTATGTATATACTCCAGTTAACCAGTTCTCTCTTTAGCTGTGTCTAATTCAATACGCTTCTTGTTTTAACAGTTTTATATTTTATTTGTAAAAATCCCAGGTTTTTTAATTTTTCAAACATACTTATTCATTCCTAACCTTCTTTCATTGGGGAATCTCTGTGACTGTGGTAACTTTTATTCCTTTAAATGTTGTGCACACAGCTATTCTCTATTCTGTGCCTGATGATTCCAGTCTGAAGTTCTTGAGAATCTAAATGTATAGTTTGTGACCTTCATTGTGTTTTTCTTTCTTGTGTTTGGAGAACTGCAATTGTGAGCATTTTGCTTAATCTTAATAAGTTTTAGGGGCTGAAGTTGGGAATTTGAGAAACTCCTGCAGGGACAAATAATTTTTGCTCCGGTTGGTAAGCAGGTGTTGCCCCTGACCTGGCCCATGTCAGGCCTTTCCAGGGTCCAGCCTCAGTGGGCTGCAGGGGACCCCACCTAGTGTCTGGCCCAGGGCTCAGCTCTGCTACCACTTTGCTGCGATGCAATCCTGTCTTGCTGTAAATGTCTGCTGCTCTGATTGCTACCTGGCCCTCATTCCTTATCACTGTACCAGCCCCTCTTTTCAGAGGGGGATTTTGGGCAACCTCTTGTGCCTCTTTCAAAACTAACAATCCGGCACAATCCGGCAGGTAGTGGATTGTTTCCAGGCATTGGCTGTTCTGCAGTGGGAGGTCCCTGAGGGTACTTAAGCAGCCATCCTTAGAAGTGTAAGTGACATGGAGGATCTGTTGTTTTCCCACTCATTGTCTGAGAATATTTAACTTTGCAAAAAAAAAATCTACTAAGCCCTCTGTGTGAGTCACCTTTTTATCTCCAATTAAAAAAAAGAAATCAACCCATTTCACACATTGACGTATGGACAGCAGAGCCAAGTCTCAGAGTAACATTTCATTATAAACTTGATGAGGTGTACTGTTCCTGCTTTGTTTTGTTTTTTACTTGCACTTTACTGTTTAATCAATCCACAAAGGAACTCAAGAGGTAAACCCTCTGAAGTCAGCTGCCCTAAGGGATGTGGTGGCAGTGCCTGGATGTGAGTTGTCACTCTTCGCACTTGCCTGCCAGAGCCTTGACGCCATCCTTGCACGACTCCACACATTTTTTTCCCCATTTAATAATATGCTTCTTAGAAAACAAATACTCTTGATCAAAGTTCTTGATGTGTTATTTTGTCAGTAGTCACTTTTCAAATGAAAATACCATGAAGTGTACAGTAAATATAAATCAGTCAGTAAAAATTAAGTCATTAACATGTCAGGTTTCAACCAGCTTGAAGGATGAATGAACACTAGGTTGTTCTCAGTTTTGTAAGTGAATCTTTGAGGACACTGAAATCATGGCATCATTCTAGGAGTTAAGTGCCTGAACTCTGGACTCAGATGTCCTGGGGTTCAATCCTAGCAGTCACTTATTAGGTCTGGTTCCTTGGACAAGTTATTTAACCATCTGAGCCTCAGTTTCATTATCTTTAAAACAGAAACAGTAAGTTAAAGTATCTGATTCATACGTGGAGTTGTGTGGATTGAATGAGTTAATAGTGTTGAGCATTTAATACAGTTCTAGACACCTGGAAAATGCTCAATAAGTGTTAACTATTATTGTTAATATTTCTTTTCCTTTAGGACACCCTGTTCCTTTGGCTCTTTTCACTCCAGAGTTGGCTCTATCTGCAGCCCATGGCGTTAACAGTTTTTCTTCAGTTACAGACACTTTACCTGCAGTGGTCAAGTTTTAATTCTGAAATTTCTCTGAAACAAAGCTCTCATTTTGGCATGGTGCATTTTTCAGAATCCTGTTTTCTTACACTTTCTCTCTTAAAGGATCAGGTCATTTGCTTCTTTACAGTCAAAGAAGCCATTGTAAGCTTCTGAGCTCATCCTTGGTTTTCAGAACAGCTGGCCTTGGGCCGGGGCTTCCTGTGCTCTGGCTCCTGCTGAAGGAATGTCTTAGACTACTGCACGCCCCTCCCAGCCCTTGACTCCAGGGAACCCTGACTCTCAGCTTCTAACTTATTTTCAGTTTTGAGATTGCATACCAAACTTGCTTTTTCCAGCCACCAAACCTCTATCTGAGTTGAAAATATAATTTAAAAATTATAAAACCTAAAAAATATATGCTAAGACATCAGTAGAGTGGTGAAAAAGCCAACTTTGAATTTCCTTTTGAGTTATCGTGGAAGGACTCAGCTTTAAGAAATGCTGTTTATAGTTAAGAGTTTGTAAATAAAGCATATGATGGAGCAAGATTACATCAGAAAGGTAAACTGGATTGTGGGAGCTAAGGTAATTTAATGCAGGCAAATTTAAAATACAGAATGGAATTTAAATTGATAAACTAGATTTAAAAAGCTTCTCAGGTCTTCTTAATCTTGCTGAGAAATTACAGGTTCCGGTTCATTGGTACCAGCGGCTGTCACCAGCCCCCAGGCCCTGCAGGCAATTGTCCTGATCTGTTTCTGCCTCAATAGCAGCACCTTTGATCTCACTGAAGCAGTAATATATTCCTTAATAAAAACACAAAAGTATCTAATTTTCCCTACTGCCAGGATAAAAAGCCTTCTAGTTTTTGAAACTTCACCGGGACTGCTAAGATGTAAGTGGAATTTAAGAATTTAAGTTTGCATGAGGAGAAAACAGGATTCTGTGGCTTGCTGGAGCACGGGAGCCACAGAACCTTTAAAGGGTCCAAGTAGTCCCATCATTTTTCAGCAAATCAAATCTTAGTGTAAAATCAGTGCTTTAGGAAGACAGACCCTATTTATCCCAGGACGTTGGCATCCCTGGCAACCCCTGAGGCTGTGGGCTGGAGGGGCAAGAGGAGACTACTTGAAAGTTTTTGAAATGTAGAATTGTAACAGAGTAATGTACTGGGGTACTGTTATGGTTGGCACCAGGAGTATCAAAGTGGCCTTGTATTATTGGGACATCTGTGTTGAATTTCTGTTTATGCTCATGCATGGGGTGGTAACCATCAACCTGCTGTAAGAGAGGTCTAGTTTTGTTTGTGACTACTGTGTGTCATACAGCCTTGGGTAAAGTCAGTTTTCGTGTCCTTTTCAGAAACAGAAAGAAGAATTTTGAGTAAGGGTTCTGATTCAGAACCCCCAGTTCAGGGCTTTCCATGGGCGAACCTCCATCCCTTGGGTCCCTATAAGCTGATACACACATAGCTCAAGTCTCTTGTCTAAACAAATGTGTGTCACATGTATTGCTGTTGTCTGTCAAGTGTACACAAATGATATATGATTTAAAAATATGGAATGGCAAAAAGCTACCGAGAATTCAGCAATGCTTTAAATATCTTTTCATTTTATTAATCAACAGATCTAAGTCATAACTGCTCTCATAAGGAGGTTGACATTTTTGGTGTTAAAAGTAGTGTGATTTTCCTTGTACTGAGTTAATGGAGGTTCTTTTAGTTTAGAACCTTGGTACTAGTCAAAGGACTGTGTGGGTACATATTTTCAGATAGAAATAGACTTTCTTATAAGAAAAAATTTAATACACTACTTTGATCCTAATGGTTTTATATTCAGCCTCTCTGGGGACATCTAGTGGTTATCTGGAAAACTGCAGCCTGTCTGTCGCCACTGTCTGCGGCTGGGGGACTTGCCCTGGGCGTTAGGAAGGGAGCTCCTCCCTCTCAGCCCAGCTGGTGAGTGTCCTAGTCGCCCACACTCACGGCAGATGGATACTGGGATCTTCTGTCCAAGGTCTCTTCCAGTTTTGAATACAGGCTAAGGTGGTTTCACTAAATTGTAAGGTGGAGAAAATGTTGCATGATTGGAACCCTGGAGTAGGAATTTCTAAACAAAAATAAAAATAAAGAACATCCATGATTTAAGGCTGTACTCCAGTTTAGGAAGCTGTCATCTCTTTATTAGACTCTGAGCTCCTTCAGGGCAGAGGCTGTGTGTATACTCACCACCAGGCCAAGCGGAGTCAGCATTCACATTAATAACATCAAGTTGAGTTTTTTAATCTTTTCATTTTATGCATGAATAGGATTATTTATAATTCCTGGGGCTCTGAATTAATGTTAAATTTATTAAAATTGTAAACATTCAGGAAAGCTTAGATTTTCTTAAGCCTTTAAATTCTATTTGTAAATACTGTGCTTTATTTACAAAGCTAGTTATTTTTGTATAGACATAAGAACATTTACTTTCATTATTTGACGAACGGCTTGTTAACTCAAGTTTTAGCTGATTAAAATCTCCTAAACAATTTACATAAGTTGGTCTCATTTACAGCTTAATGAATTAAACAATTTAAACGGATTTATAATGTGATTTACACTGATTTTTCTCCAGCTAGTCCAAGCCTTAATGAGGCCCTAGCAAAGCTAACAAGCCCAGGTTGCTTTACACACCTAAGCAACTCTGAAATCTAGTAAACCATACTTAGAAATGTGCTCAATCAGCTTCTTTTAAACATTCAAATACTGTGTACAGACCTACTCAGATTTTCTTATTGCTTTCAAGGAAAATTTGAAGTCTGATATCAGTTGCACATTTCAGATCCAAACCACAAAGGCCAAGATGTTGGGTGTACTAACTTAACAAATTGTTGTAATTACTTTTATAAGAAAGACACACATTATCCTGAAGATTACAGAATTTAAACTTGTAATTGAGTTTATTCCTCAACCTAATGTAAAAGCTTACTGTACTTTATCTTCAATATTTTATCTCTACTATCCCTGGTAAAAAAAATACTCAGGCCAAAAGTGGTTACTGTGTTGAAGACTGTGATCCTGACTCCACTACTAGCCAGTCAGTGGTTCTGGCCTGGACTCCAGACTGGGCGCTGGACTCCTGCAGGAAGTGTCTGCCTGTGTGGCCCAGGGGCTCGGCTGAGCCATTCCCTAGAGTGGATTTCCTCTGCTGTGTCAGTGGGGGATCCAAGCTCACGCCTTCTAACTGGGGTTTAGCTTTAAAAAAATCCAGCACATCTTGTGAGTTCTCTGTGTCTTTCTTTCTCAGCCAGTTTTGATTGTAACTTCTTTGATTCAACACTTAAACCACTGACTGGGGGCGGGGATAGAATTTTGCACTCCACTTAGGTTGCTGCCTGTCTTCTTCACCACCTCATTGAAATAATGTATTTCTTTACTTCTGTGTGGGCTTCCTTCTCCTCTGTGTATATGTATTTTCTTGTCTGGTGGTTGGTCACTGTTCAGGAGTCATTTCATTGACAGGCGTTGTGGTGCCAATTGGTGCTGAATGCTTAGAGGGTACAGCAGAGTCATTGGTATGTGGGATCCATGCACGTCATTGTCCAGAGCTCGGCTGACTTTGCCTTCTCCCCCTGTGGGTCTCAGCGCCGGCTGCGGGTAGAGTCCTCTCTGGAGCTTTGATAGGCTGGAGACCCACCTCAGGCCCGTGGAAGGAGAACCCCTGGCAGGCAGCATCATGTCACAGGTGCACCAGGGCTTCTGAGGTACAGACAGGGTTAGAAACCACGGTTGTAACAAAGCCTTAAACTGAGATTCCAGATCATTACAAGGATCTCATTGCGTTACGCTTTTTGTATGGAAACACTAATGGGAAATGCACAAAGTGAAAAGGACATCTAGGTAGGAGGTTTGGCCACTGCATGACTGGGTCATTTTCCTGCAAAAACCCAGAGTTGGAAGGGAGCTGTTTTGGGATATAGGTCACAAAATATGGCATGTTTTTCTTCATTTGCTCTAAGTACTGGTGCGTGGTTGCGCCTGACTTCTTCCCACCCTGTGCCTGCTTGCCGGGCTGCCCCTCGCCCCAGGTTTCTGCTGATGTTCTCTGCAGCGTTGTGCAGTTGCTACAACTCAGCCCTGACGACCGCGGTGGTGGGAGCCATCAAGGTAGGTGCAGCCCTGGCCTGGTGGTGGGTTTGGGGAGCTGCCAGAGCCCAACCTTTGCCACAGAGGCTGAGTCCCACCTGACTGGTACCCGCGGTGTGGCAAGCTCGAGGCTTGTGCATTTCCAGCCGCACCTGTAGAGCCCTTTGTGTGTCTAATGACCTAATCCGCAGAACATGGAGGACTTGCCAGTTTAGAGAGGCAAATTCTGACGTAAACTAGGGGTGGTGGGAGGGAATGGCCTGGAAAATGAGGTAACAAAGCTGAAAAACATTCTGAATTTCTGTGCTCACCAAGATACCTTCTGATCTACAACTTGGTTTTCTGGGAGAACCTGCTGGCCTAAGAAGGGGCCTCCTTATGAGGAGCTGTTGCAGCCTAGACAGACAGACAGATGCCCAGTTCCGGGGGCATGCACTCACGGGATGTGGGATGCTGTGTGTGTGTACACCTAGCACACACGAGTGGGCAGGAGGGGGTTCTGGGCTGTATTCTGCAGCCACTATTCTGTTCACATGCCCTTCTGAGGGAGGGAGAAAAGCAGCCTACTTCCCCCGTAGACATGTCCCTTGGCTGCTCAGTGGTGTCCCAGAGTGTGCTGGGCAGAGCACTGCCTGGAATCTGTTAAATGTCTCTAATTTGTTCAAGTTTAGGACCAATATGACTAAAATTACCACCCACTGGTGGTGAGTGGTGAGGAGATGGTATCTGGAAAGCTGATGACAATCCAGCTCTTACTCTTTTCCCTGTTTTTTAACTGGATGGGGCCGTCAATAGTGCAGTTTATTTTACTCCCTTATGAGGCTGTATGCAATTTTTAAAGTTCATTCATCCAACATTCTGTGAACACCTACTATGTACAAGTCTCTCTGCAAAGTAACTAAAACATTTAGTTTCAGATTTCACCATATATATATATACATATATATATATATATATATATGTGTATGTATTTTCCTTTAAATCCTTTACTTGCAAAGTGACTAATTCTCTCTCTCTCTCTGCAGAATGTATCTGTTGCCTACATTGGGATGTTAGCTGGTGGAGATTATGTTTTCTCTATGTTAAACTTTGTTGGGTTAAATATTTGGTAAGTGGGATTTTTGAATGAATTTATTTTTCATAAAATATGAATTTTAAAAAGTCTGTTGTTAATATAAGTGAAAGAGCAGGAGGTGTTTTGATGTTGTAGTTTCTAAGATAATTTTGCTTTAATCACTCAGTTCATCTATTTTTGTGACCTGTCCAGGGGGTTGTGGAGATGGGGGTCATGAAAATTCGAGGGCCAAGATCTGAATTTAATTCATATGTCTTCCTCACAGAAAAGTCCCCTGAGTTCTCTCTCTTCCTCTTGAGCAGTGGGCCTCATTAAACTTGAGCTCCATCCAAGTGCCATATGCTAAAGATGGGAAGACTGGCTGAGATACTAAAGAAAGGCATTTTGGGGTCCTGGACATTGTATACTGTTTTAGGATAACAGCATGTAGTTTATTTGCTAATAACCAAGTGCTTATTTTTCTCCCCAACATTCTGTATTAGATTTGATCTACTCTTTTTCTGCCCCTAGAGATTCATAAATTAGGGGGGCGATTCTCATCAAGTAATCCACAAACTGAGAAAAACATGAGTCTTGATCATTCCCTCCAAATTAAGCTGACTGTCCTTGGAAGGTGCCACAAGAGCTGGTGGTGTGGGACTGACTGATTCTCACTCTTCTCTTTTCTCCCTGCAGCATGGCAGGGGGCTTGAGGTACTCCTTTCTAACGCTGAGCAGCCAGTTGAAGTCTAAGCAACCTGTGGATGAAGAAAACATCCCTCCAGACTTGAAGAGTTAGAATCTGGGGCCAAATAGCAGACTGACCTGCAGATGGGTGTCTGGGGGCCATTCCCAGATGTGGAATGTGAAGCCAGATGTTTTGGTGTGACATTCACCCCCCACCTCCCCGTTTAAGGAACAGACAGGAATGCCTGCAAATTGCTGAGTCTCCGCCTCATATGCCACTCTGCAAACAGCCTTCCTTGGCGCTGAGAAATGCATCTGCAGAGCCTTACCAGATGAAAGTGAACTTCTTCAGAATAAACCTTTGGTTAAGTGATTGTCTCCAAGGGTCTTGCATGGGTAGAGCGCTGACCTTCTGTTCACCCTTCAACATGTCTGTGCTGTTGTTTGTGAGGATCCTGTGTGCTTAAGAGGAGGGAAAAGGTTGGTGCTGTGAGGGTTATTATTTTCTTATCAGCACCTTGGCCTTAGTGCCAGGTTCCAGCCAAAGCAAAGTGCCAGTGAGAACAATTTTTCCAGTTTAAACAGACATATCTTTATTTTAATGAAATTAGTCAATTAACTGAAAATAAAGTTGTTAGTTTTGATTTGATCTTATGTGTTGGTATCTTTTCCCAATCATCAAAATAAAATTAATTTATATGCATGCCTCATACTTTGATACTGTTGTAGACAGGCAGAAAACAGTCAGTGGTTCACTGTCTTGAAGGGAGTCCTTTTAAGGCTTTGCTGGGAAAAATGATAAAATAACTCAATGGAACTAAAAATAAATCAGCATGCCCTGTCAATATTTAAGTTGCTTGCCTGCCTTTTCTTCCTCCAGGTTTGCCCAGAGGGCTTTGCAATTCAAATCATGTGGACTTCAACCAAAGATACAATTTCTCCACAGGCTTGTCTGACCTCCCAGACCAGTGGTGCGTGGGAAGGAGCCCTGAGTGGCTGAGAGCTCTCATTACCATCTCCATCAAGAATGGGCCGTCCCCATCGGGGTTGTGTGCAAGGTGGGGCAGAGAGAGCTTTCTTTTGTGTTTTTCTAAAGGCTTACTATGTCAATCTTTCATTTTCAAAGCCAGGATGCCTGGATGGGGGTTCTCATTTAACTTGTGATCACCCCAAATATTTGGAGTAAATGGCCCGTTCTGTGGCACTTCGGTTTGCTTCCCTGTGTAGCCAGGAGAGGGCACTCTGAGAGCAGCCCGCAGCTCTTGCAGCTGGGTTGAAACATGAAAACCTCTCAAGAACCAGGTTGCCTATGTGTGTGTTTGATGGGAGTGCCCATTGTCTTCTGAGTTAAGGTTATAATGAATTTATTTTATAATTTGAGGTACTGTAATGGGGTGACTACACTTACCGTGGTGAGCACTTAGTAGTGTATATAACTGAGTCACCATGTTGTACGTCTGAAACCAATATAATATTGTACATCACCGATATTCCATTAAGAAAAGGTTAGTTGAGGGTGCTGGATGCAAAGAGGTGGTACAGAAGAGATCTATAAGCCCAATGAGGCTGAAGAAGAAATGCAGCCCAGTGTCCCACGTCCCCAGATTTCTTTCTTCTTACATTTTTTTTCTGAAAATAATTGTAAAAACCACTCTGGGTGAGACAAAGAAAATTGCTTTAATACCTTGATAGTTCGCTTATTTCTGGCTCTTGTAGTGCAAGTAACAGTGACACCATTTGTTAAGATGGACTTTTTCCTGCTGTTTTAATGTTTTTTTTTCTATATATTAAATATATCTCACGTATAAAGCACCGGAATATTGGACAGCTGAGTTTGTTTAAAGAATAGAACCTAGTTTAGAGAAGAGTTACATATGACATATATATTATAACACTTAGGTATTATACGTGCGCACACACATATCGGTGTATATTTTCGTGCCCTCAGGAGAACGGTGGAGGTTCATGTCCATAATTTCAGAATCTTCAGTTAACTTTTTCCATGATCACTTCAACTTCTTTTTGTTTTTTCTTTCCACTTTGTGTTCGTTTCCTTTTTCAGCTACTAAATGGGCTTAAGCCCACAGGTGTGGTGGCCCTTTTGGGGGGAGTGCATCTGTCTGTCTCAGCCCCTGGCCTGCAGTGACTCTTGGCTAAACTCCGGACTTGGAACATTTGCCAGGGCGGCGGGCAGACCCCCACGGCCCCCTGATGGGAAGGGAAGGCTGGTAGAGGAGCCCCTCGGGAAGGAAGCACCACACCCGGGAGCAGCCTAGTTTTTAGAGGCCTCGTCCTTGTCTTCGCTGCTCTCCTTGATATTCTCAGCTGTTTCTACAACTAATCCGTGCCTGTCTTGGCTTCTGTTGGAAAACCTTCTGTGATTATCTCTGGGAGTCTGGGAATTTCAAGCACTCTCTTTCGATTTGCCTCATTTCCTCAAACAGGCTATTGCTTTCACCTGGTAGGTGCTGGGCTTCTTGTTCAGACATATATATTATAACACTTAGGTATTATACATGCGCACACACATATCGGTATTTCCTCTGGGGACAATTCTCCTTTGCTGTCTCCCCAGGTTCCCAGTTTAGGCTGTGCTTCAGCTGAGTCTCTTCTAGGTATTTTTCGGTGACAGATTCCACAGGCTCTGGAAGGATGCTCTGGGGCTTTCCCAGAAGACAGGAGTTCTCATCTTTGGGTGTTCCTCAGGTTCCAGATTAGATAGCCTTTTCTTATGCACCACTTGGTCTACTCAGATGGCTCTTTGTTCCAAGAAAAGTTTACATCCCTTTTAAAGTAATCTTCATTGACACCCCCAGCAGCTGTCCCATGCCCCACATGGCTGGAGTGCCAGCTCCTTGTGGCTCACATTCTTAGTTGCTGACTTGTCCTGAGCAGGTACTCACGAGTGTCTGAGTGTCCTGGTCTACGTGATCTCCTTTGCATGCTGGCCTCCCATGTTCAGATACATCTGGTTATACACATTCATATCTTTCCTGTGTTCCAAAAGAAAATATCAGTTTGACAGCTTGTGAAATCTTGAGCTGGACAGAAGCACATGGACAGTGACCATCCAGGTAGAGTAGATGTGAGGACAGAGCAGGCATTTAAAGCAGAGGGAGGGGCCAGGTGCCTTTGCCCCTCAACCTTCAGCCATCTGATCTGTAAGATGAAGCCAGCACCATCCTCAGAGTGTTTTGTCATTGCTTGTTTCCTAGTGACCAATAAACGTTAGTTTCCATTGTTAATAATGGTGCTGTCATTCTGGTTATTAATTATGGTGGGGAAGAGCTCTAAGAGAAGGCCTCTCTCTACAGAGAAGGCAAATTGGAAGGATGACTGGGAATTTATCAGCTGGAGATAAGGGTAGAACCTTGGGCTGGCGACTCATTTGTTTGCTGTGAAAGGCTATGTACACCTGTGTGGACATTTTGAGTGCTGGGACTTGCCAGTGGTCATCAGCATAGCTGCCCAGTAGCTGCTGCTCTGTGAGATTTAGAGTAGGCAAAACAGCTACTACTAGCTGTATTTTTTACTTTGTTATCAATAGAAGTTGAGATTTTCACATCACCTTAGAAGAGTTTTTGCAGTCAGATCATTTATGCCTTGCCCGGAATTCTGGTACCTATTAGTCTCCCCACTAGTTCTTGTTATTTAACATATTCAAAAAGAAGCATATGTTTAGTACATCATCTTTAAATGATTCTGAGATGACCTTTTTTTTTTGGTAATTGGTTTCCTTTATAGTTTCATATACTTTATTTTAGGTGTTGAAAAACATGACTCAGAGAATTAATTGGGCTGTGACCATTCCTGACTGCTATTGTGGCCCATGCACTATAAAACGTAAGGACCCCTGCCTTTGAGGGAAGAAGAAAATTCCAGATTAATATGCTTTCTCAGGAAATTTTTCCATTTTTGGCCTTAGTACCTGTGGAAATCCGCTGCCTGTACGGGTGCAGAGTAGCCTGAGGGCAATTTTTGCGCTGCTTCCTCGTGGGAGGGAGTCAGTCTCCAGCCAGAGGTGGTCCACTGTCTGCAGCTGGGGGGCCAGAGAGGGAGGGAGGGACATGGAACAGGACACAGGCTCCGCTGCCATGTCCTCCTCACTCAGGTCAGACCAGAGACGTGGGACCTCAGATACAGAGCCTCATTCTTCAACTTCTGCGACTGCTTCCCTGCAGTGCAGCGTTCAAAGCCTGTGAAGAGGTGGGATGGCAGTGAGGAGCTCGGGGGACATATTTTCCAGTGCCACAAGCAAAACTGGAGAACACCAAAGTAACCATCTAAGTTCTCTGGAAATTGTCTTCAGGGCATGTAGCAAATGAAGAAACATTGATTCAAGAAAGTCTCATAAAACTTGGTAAGAACAATGAACGGCTGTGTCACTTGAGCTTTGACTCACTGGTCCCTCTCCCTCTCCCGTCCCCCTTCCTCTCCCCCCTCCCCTCCCCTCCCCTCCCCTCTCTCCTTCCCCCGCCCTCAGCTCCACAGGAGGCTCTGCCCCAGGTGGGCGAGGCCACGCAGATGGATTCATCCTCTCAGCTCCCAATCAGGGGATACCGCACCTGAGCAAGGGGCAGGCCAGCGTTCTCACCCCCTCCAGTGAGGCGCAGTGCCAGGGGAGTGCCACCGAGGGACAGAGCCTCCCTCTACCTCCCCCCAGCGTGGGCCAGGGTATGTTCCCAGGCGCCATAGGTCAAGAATCTTCCAGTTGCCCTTCCCGACTTGACTGTAGGGCAGAGGCTCCGTGCTGGGAGAGGCAAGCTGACGGAGCAGGACTGCACCCTGCCCGGCACCCAGGGTGGTGGCTGAGGGAGGCTGCCCCGCGGAGAGTCGGCCCGTACCCAGAAAGCCAGCTGGCCTCAACGGTTGGCTTCTGGGGGATGCCCTTGGGATGCTGAGCCTGGGGACTTTGGGCTGGCCACTCGAGGAGGACCACTCGTGTGAGAGTGGGGGTTCTCCGTGATGCTGGGTGCCTGGGGACTCATCAGCCATGCAGTGGGCAGTCGCACCTCTGCCGTGGGCCCCAGTGCAGGCTGAGCCTCCAGCAAGCGGCACTCCCTGCTCACCATCACACCTGGGGCTGGAAAGCCACGTGTCCTGCCTGCTGGAGAGAAGGCTGAGAGCATCGCCCACTTCCCCAGACTGCCCTCCGCGCTCTGTCGGTGTTAGCGGTGTGTTTGTGATGGGAAACTTACACCTGACTTTTGGGGAATACTGGAGACTGTAAGATAAATTCTAGCCGAAATAAGCAGGCAAAGAGAGGCAACAAAGGGCCAGGTAATTTATTTAAATACCCCTGGGTGAGGTTCTGTGGCCTTATTGTCAGAGGCCAGAGAGGTCACACCCCATTAGGGAGGTGGGGAGCTTATAAGGGATTAGGAGGGGGAGGAGTGGGCAAGCTATCCTAGGGGGTGTGGAGAGGTATGATTGGCTAAAGGTGACATATAGACAACTAGAAACTTTTTTCCTTCCAAGAGGGAGGAGGCTGATATCCGGGTCTTAGTTGACACATCAGGATGGAATTCAGGAGAGCTGTCTGTCCCCTTTCCATATATGGCATGGACTTTGGGGTCTGGTCTGTTCTCCCCCTATGGCATCTCTCTGTTCTGTTTGCATGTCCTTGTTTTTCCTTTCTTCAGCCTAACAGAAACTACGTGAGGGTGGCCGTTCCTTTTCTCAGATTCTTCCCAAGGGCTTGGAGCTTTGG